ACCGGCTCTCCGACGGCTGCCTCAGGTCGGCACAAGACCAGGACGGAGCAGGACATGGTCCAGCTCTGCACCATCTGAGGTAAATGAATTTATTGCTCCTGGGCACTGCATCCACCTGCACTAAGGGCAGCTCTTCCCTTCAACTGTCCCCCATGCACCTACCTCATACTCTCTCCGGGAGCGTCTCTTCCTGCACAAACACACATTGCCCAACCAAGGCAAGGCCATGGGTTTGGCTGGAGCTTATCAGTTGCCTGCTGCTACATCAATGCTAAAACGAAATTCTTTTTCAATTCCTCATCTACAAAAAAAAAAAAAATTATTCTTATTCTACTTGGCCTATTTCCTTTTTTTTTTATTTTTTTTATTTTTTATTTTTTTGAGTCCTGCTCAGCAGTAGTTCTGCAGGGAAGGATGTGCTGCCACAAGGTGCTCAGGAACCTAAGAATTACCTTGAAAATTACATAGCAGCTCAGCTGAGCAGCAAAACCAGTTCTGGAAGGCCAGTCTGGACTGCTCCGCCACAAAATCAACGCTGATTATACATGTGAGCGTGCTGCTGCCTTGCAAGCTGACATAAACTCGTCATCCCCAGTTTAAAGGCGAGTGGCCCAGCTGGCACTGCACAGGCTTTGCACGCCACCCTGCTCTGCCTGCAGCATCCCTGTCCCTGTGACAGGCACATCGTGCCACATCTCTTTTTACCCTTTTGCACCAGCACGGACTAAAGCTGGAAGAAGGCAGGATGCAAAGATAGTGAACCCAGCTGAGCAACGTTTCTCCTTGAAAAGTTGAGCTTTAACCTCTGGCAGCTCGTCCACAGCTTAACCCTCCTACAGCTCCTACAGCTCCTGCATGGGCAGGCTCCGCTGCCGCAGGGCTGGTCCCTTAGGGATCGCTTTTAAGCCTACAAAACTTCCCTTGTAAGAGAGATTTGCAGATACTGGGAGCTTAAGACTTTTTTTTTTTTAATTTCCCCGCTTCGCCTCTCCAGGGGAAGCAGCTGTACAATGAATTGCACAAAGGAGCTTGGCCTCAGCCTGTAGGACGCGGATCCAAGAGCCTGCAATGAAAAGGCTCGAAGAATACAGCTTGCAAGTGTGTTCCCAGCACAAGGAGGGAGCAAATTCATAAGCAGACCTCCCGCTGGCCTCTCCCCGCTTTGGCCGGACTGCACAGTTATGCTCACTCCGAGGAGAGGGCTCTGCAGATCCCTCGCGAGGGCACTCGAGAGCCGAGGATCCTCCCAGAGCCAGAGCAGAGGCAGCAGCATAGTTTGACATGAGGAATGGAAACAGCCTCCCCACACCATACCTCCTTTGAGGTCTGCTCCATCCTCTGCCCCAGCAGCCCAGGGACCACTTAGACATCTCTGGGAAGCAGTTTCAGGTCATGGTGATCTCCATGGAGGAGCAGACCTGGCCTCTTCCCACAATTACAGCTTGAGCTGAATGAAGCCACTGTTTTCTCAATGTTAACGGAGCTGAACTCTTGGAGCTGCTCAGAAGGACCGGCCATTTCCCTGGTCAGAGTTTGCATCTGCAGAGGGGAGCCTTGGACCCCACAGGTTCCTCCTCACAGAGGGAGCAAAGTCCAGATGTTGTTTCTGCTCCTGGGGG